TTTCGTTGTCTATATCTCAAATATTGCAATGACGGAAATTTTTCTTTTGTACCCTGGGCAAGAGACTTTATTTCTCTATTGTCTTTTATAAAAAAAACATCGTAGCTACTCTGCTGATTGAGTATTTCGTGGTATGAAATGAAATATCTAAAACGTTCGTTTTATCGGCCATGTTGGTAAAGCGAACGGTACAGCGGTTCAGCTCAATCAGTTCAATTTACGAATTTTAGTGACACTTTTATAAAATATATTATGTGTTCTCTTTATCTGCCTTACACATAAAGCGAACACGCTAGCTATTTTAGCTTGAGATAAACTACTCAAGAGCATTCTATTAACTATGATGATCTTTAACAAAACTCTTCAGAGTGCTTAGACCTAATCCTAACCAGAGGTTAAAAAAAACATTGCTGAGGTTTTTTAATGCACGGTTCTCCTTTTGATTTTTCATCTTTTATGAATAAGAATTATAACGAATGCGTTTTGTTGGTAATGAAAACTTTCGGGCCACATAAGAAACTTGCGTGAGTCTGAGATTAGCGTTCAAGCACTTCAAGCAGGTAATGAATGTTTTGAACTAACCATAGAGTCTTTCAGATCATTGATGAATCTGTGAGGGTGTGAGCGTTTGGGTATTGATCATCTCATCACCCACACCCCACACTCGCACTCTCACCTACATCCACACCCACCCACATCCTCTTAGAATAGGCTATTCGGACTGAAACTTTCCGTAATGAATAGTCCCAATGAGAAATACTTGGTGGTAAACATTTCAGCCTGCTTTTATAGCCTTCAGAAGAATTGAAATAACTTCATTGTTAGAAGATGTACAAAGCTCGGTTTGATTTCAAATTAAAGCTAGCATCTGTGCACAACTTTTCATAGGACAGATTTTTGAAACTCCCTTACGTCCATTTTTTATGAGCACTTTTGTGAATATGATGTTCAAAATAAGCATAATAAATGTGACTTCACGACAGAAAATCCCACTTTTCTCAGCCCAGAAATCAAATATCAAAAATCCGTCGGATGAAAATTTAGCTCTGAATCAGATCTTTCAAAAAAAAAGAAAATCATTGGTGATACCCTGGGCTGGGTGGGAGTTATTTCAATTTCCTTGCCTGAAAACCGTGTTTTTGAGAAAAACGTTAAAGAAATTTTAGAAATGAATTTTTTCATTAAAATCCAGAAAAAACATACTAAATTGGTATATTCATAATATTTGCCACTGTAATTTTTTAAAGAGAATAAAAAGTGATTTAAACTACCACTCTGGGTCACATTTAAGTAAATATAATGATTTATTCAATGTCGAAACAAATAAATGGCAGCTTTTCCAACACTGAAAAACTTTTACAAAAGCAGAAAAATTCCTGAAAAAAAAACATGATGAAGAAGTCTAAATTAGTTTCAAAAGCCTTTTAAAATTTGGTTCTTTTCCAAAAAAGCTATACATATTCTGAAAGAGAAAATTTCGCTGCAACTTTCTACGGTAAAAACTCAACTTCGAGCTATTTTCTGCAAAAATAGGATTTTCTGAGGGTACTCTTTTTAAGTATGTTGGAATAATTATGTCAATTCAAGGAGAAATACTCTTACATGAGTAAATTCTTGTTTTCAGTGATTTATTCATTCTTGTATCGTGTCTTGATGTTCAGACATACATATTTATGTCTTACCTTTCCTCTGTGTAACATACATCGTACATACTCTCTTCACTGCTAGGACCATTTGTCGCATGAATAATGCGTTGCGGACGTATAGATAAGTGTGTGGATAATGGTATGCGTGGAGATCTTTGGTGTACCCTGACTTTCATCCAGACACCCAAATCAAGACCAATGGCCACACGCACACAGGTTATGCATGAGAGTTCCAAAGCAGCCAAGATTAGGGCACAAAGTTTGTTTCGGATCAGATCTGATATTAATCTGTTTCTTGTAACCTACAATGGAACACTATTTCGGAGATCCAAAAATGCAGACGATATCCTTTAAAAACTCGAGTTCTCTGACAAATTTTCAAGAAGAGAACCCGTGTCCAATGTGAGAAAATTTCTCAATACTTTTGTTGTCAACGGTGACCATGCTGCTGACGGTTGTTCTAAACTAGGCTGTTTCAAATAAAAATTTGAGCATGTAGAAGTGGCTGTGTGGATGCCGATCCCATCATCTTCCACCCAGACCCACATTCTCAAGTAAACAAATGTTCTACTTCTAATTTTTATTGCATAATTAGTCTTTCTACTTTTACATAAAATAAAATAATTTCGAATGTCTAAATATTTAATATCATGCCTGTACTTCTTGCAATGCTTCCAATATCATATCTAGTGATACGTGTATATTGTGTAAAACAATCGTATGTCGACCAGTATCTTTTGCTTGATGAACATCTCGCACTCCAAATAATGAGCTTGGTAGAACGAGTACTTCAGCTTCATTTTCATAAGCAGATAAACAGAGTAAGTATTTATCATCATTACGTCGAAGATCAATAGCTATGCTGTATGGGAGCTCGAAATGAAATTCACAAATTACTCTATTACGATCAGTACTGGCCGCTTTTTAGCTATTTGCGAATTCTTAAGCAACTTCCGGATTAACAGATGTTGAAGTTAATGGTTTGATTTCAATCAATGTTCCTTGGTTATCAACAGCCAATTTATACTCATCAATATCTTTAGTTATCATTGATAGACCACGATAAGATTGACCTGTAAAACATCGATCTTTTAGAGTTTGCAATTGTAAATATATTTCAATAGCAAATATTTCCGCATTTGGATGTAGTGCGCGATAATTTTTTTTTCAAGCGTATATAGACGAATGAGATATTCTATTTGATTACGAGAACAATATTCATCAAAGAGAGAACATGCACTTTTATAACCGGGATGATCATATCTTACATTCTAATTTAATATTCGTTGTAATTGACGAGCACAATCATTTGATCGTTATAAACACTTGCAAGATAATATTTTATGATTTATGCATGAATAATAATTTTGATATATTTACTATGAATATCTCTACCAATGTTTTTATATCCATTAATCCAACCGTTTGGTACATGATTAATAGCATTTTCTTCTATTTTCTTTTCTGAAATTAATTCTAAACACATGCTAGCAGGGTCATCATAAAAAAATCGATTGTTATTTCTCTCCAATGGACGAAGAAATAATGAACGAATTTCATCATTTGTTGCTTCTTCGTATGGCATATTTTTATATTTGTTTATGATCCATGGTTGTGTACCATTTGCAAGAAGCATTTTTACGATAGTTTTATGACCTTAGAAAGATGCATCATGTAATGAAGTACTTCCGTTTGGTGTAAGACGATTGATATCAGCTGTATTCATTTGAGGCAACATTCGCTTCACTTTTTTAGCTTCACCATTACGACAAGCCAAATAAAACTCACTAGATACACTTGAAGGAGCATCTGTAGTCGTTGCAAGGTCAGTTGTACTAGGTGTTTGTACCATAATCAATATTATATGTTGTTATGAAAATTCTTTAAATGTATAATCTCTTGAACGTCAAAAAATTGTTTTTACTTTTATAGAAATTCTTTTGAATCAACTATTAATGTAGTGGAGTATTGAATGCCATTATATGTCCTTTATTTTTCCTTTGATTTGCAGTAATTTCAAGGCTTTTCAAAAATAAACACATGGATTTCGGCATTAACGCTGAAGCAATGAAAAAAACTCATCCGAACATTTTGTTTCTGTGATAAACAACGTGCGTTTAAACAAACTTTTGGTGAGTTAAGAGTAGAAGAAAAGGTCAAAGAGAATATTCAGTCTTATCCTGAGCGAGGAATAAATTGTTGCAGAGATTGAATTATTCATTCACCATGGGAAACTCCAATTGTAGTTTTTATTCTGCTTGTTATTCGGGTCATATTGATACAGTCAAAAAAATGTTAACAACAATGAAATTAAAAGAAATAAATCGTATAGAACTCAATGGTAATACAACAGTACATGTGACTGCTTCGAATGGACATTTTGAAATTATTGAATTGCTTCTTAAGCATGGATGCTCGACTACAACAACTAATAAAGATGGGAAAACTACAGCGTAAGAATGTACGGATGAACGAATTCGCCAGTCGATACAATCATCGGCAGCTACTATTGGTAACAATCAGCAAATAAATGATGAAGTGCCTGAATCAACGTAGGTGCAGGCTTATGAAAATGTCAATAACGAAGACAAATCCACTCTAGCCACAAAAATTATGAAATTACGTCTCACAATGTATTTAACCAATCAGTTTAAAACCAATGGAGCTAGTCGAGTGAATCATATAAGAAATATTATTCTTCAAGCTGTCGGTAGAGAGAATAGTAGTTGTTCAACACTATTAAGGGAACTTCAGAAAGTTGAATATGATCAATCGTTGGAGCATTTAATTTGTCTCTATACAACGGAGACTTCTTTCAGCAGTTATATTCGAAATAATTCAGATGAATCTTTTTTTTAATGAATTATTCATTGGTGTAGTGAAGCATCGAAATAGACGTTTCCAAGGACGTAGTTATCAAGAATGTAGTCTAGATACGACTACACTTGACTTTTATCTTTGGGCATGTCATCAGCAGACAAACTTCATTGAAATTCTGACACATACCAGTACGAGTGAATGTCGTTCATCTGCTGGAAGCTTCTTCGAGCACTCTCTTCATGATACAGGTAAATTTAATATACTATTTATTTATGATTTCACTGAACCGTGTGAAACGGCAACCGATATCGTGGATATTTGCGAGTTCCCACATGAACAAGAGGTTCGCACCATGCCCGGAACATTTTTTTAAGTAACATCAACCGAAAAATCATCATCAAATGATATTTCGTCTTGTATCGCCACTATCTCAATGAAAAATAAACCTGTATCACGTAGAGCTTTGCTTAAAACTATAAATGAAGGGTGTGGGTATTTCTTGTGTTACTTGAAGCATCCCACACCCATCCACTCGCACCCTCACTGTTTCATGCGTAATTTACATTCATTTAGCATGTGAAAAATCATGTTATTTGATATTTCACAAACTTGTAACTCTTTAAGGAAAAAGTCAAATGATGTGCAAACTTTATGGTGGATAGAGCAAGAGTCGGGCTACATTCTGATATAATTTGAGTCATGTTGCTATGAGAACTATGGGAGTGATACATCGAAAAAGATATTTGTTTACAAACATATATATAGAAAACTTTTCCAATCCCAATAGCTCGCATAAAGACAGATGCTCTCCGCACCGCTCTATCGAATGGCTAAAACCTGAATTAGATAGCTGTGAATGGTGAAGAGTTATTCAAAAAAATGCTGACTGGCATTTGAAAACACTCCGACATTCGTAATTATAACACCCAACAATGCTGAGCGTGTGAATGGGTTGATGATTGTATAATAAGATTGAAATATTTTATTAAAGTATTATATTTTATTTTCATGATTTTTTTCGCCGAATGAATAACATCGGCTGTAAACATAAGCTTCCCAAGGATGCCATCATATTAAAACATCTTTTAGAGTATAAATACTGGAGGAATAATCATATACATATTTAATGACTCCAACGGACAAAAGCACCGAACGGTATTCCTTTGCACTTGATCGCAGGCAGACCAGCATTATTACCCCATACCACCGAACTGGATAAAGTCTCTAGATCACAACCAATCGAGCTTCATTCTTCTTTGTTCGTTGTGGCATTAAAACCTTTCGCTTCGCAGCATACCATCGTACCAGCATTACTGTTTACATTAACATCAGAAACTATTCTGAACGAGCTCGTAGTGCCTACCATAGGAAGCACGCCTGTATCCGATTGACAGATGGGTCCGAAAACGAACGGTGCCGCCCAACAAGTACCGCCACGTGCTTTTGCATGATCCATTGTTAATAGAAAAACAAAACAGAAGAGAAAATTTGCAGCTATCATCATCCTTAGGTGAAATCGTCAGAAATGTTGATAGGATGGGAATATCATGACTTTTATAGGCAAACCACTACTACATTTTCAGCCACTCTTTTTTTGCCTAACCTTCATCTTATATTTACTTACGCATTAATCTAAACCTTTTTCAAATACATATGATATTCATCACGCTGTTCGAATTTCTCCCTTGAATCTGACATTATGCATATAATCTCCATTGTTACCAAGATGTTTTTTTAACCGACAATGATTTTCGTCGGTACCGACTTCATCGAATGAATTCTAAACTGAAAAAAATTCGGATCAAATAATTTCCAAATCTATATTTCTGACGATTGTTTTTTCATTATTGACAAAACCGCTACGAACAGATCGAACACTTAAAAAACTTTTAAGATACCATGTCACATATTCACACGCCAATAACAACGTGTTTCTTATAGCATAATAATATTTAATGACTTATTAGACTAGCTTTCGTTTGAAAGGTGTTTCCGCCATTTCTTTTGATTGAAGGAGCCTTTTATTTTCAATCGTCATTAGAGATTTTTTTATTTCAACTCTTAACGCTGTTTTCAGTGTAGTTAGTTGGATTGGCTTAGAGTTGTTTTTTATATAAAGAACAGTTATAAAGTTTATTTCAATACTTCGGGGTCAGTACCAACCGAGTTTATTTTTATTGTTACATCCTATATTAACAATATATATCATATGTTTTAAATAAATTTATCATCAGCTTTGTGAATTCTAACCAATAAAATGATGAAGCGAAAAAATTATAAGCGGCTGCTATTCATGTCGACTATTCGTGACCTTGTGATTCTAAGAACTAAAACTTATTTGGTATACATAACAAGTTGATTATGTAATTTGATTGATACAAAATCTTCTTGTCTTGTATATTTATATATTTTCAACAGTTTTTGAATGAAATCTAATCATTTCTGAAAAAAATATGAGTAATATCTGTTCTACTTTTCTCATAAACGATTAGATATTACTCAAGACCAACGTATGATACATCAATAGACAAAATATGAGGATCTTTTATTGAAAAAATTACCTAATTAATGTCTTGCGTGTGTTAAATTACATTTATTTAAAGAATCGCAAGATTATCAATGAACTTATTCGAATTCTGACTGTACCGCTAAAACATGAAACTAATTAGTGCCGGCACACAAAGAAGCATCGCTGAAATACTATCGACATCACGCACATTATACTATATGGTCAACCGACGGTTTTTCTTTTATTTGAATTACATAAGATGAAAATTAAAACTTATTTTTAAATAAAAGAAAATTACTTCGTAGTTGTTTATCTGATTAGAAATCGATTCTGCCTAAATTTATTTTTGTCTGTGACATCTATTTCCCTGTTCCTTGTATCATTTTTGTTAGTAAGCACTTTTTCTTGTCTCTTTTTCTTTATTAATAGTATCCACTATATATATTCATATGTTGGTGATAAAACCTCATAGATTCATCATTTTTCTCATTTATTTCCTATGATCAACACCACAATAAAATAATAAATCCAGATGTTTCTACATTCTCTTGTATTTATAAAATTAATCATTACTGAAAACTTTAGACCTTTCATTGAAAAATGATACGAAATAAATTAGCTAAAAGATAACTAATAAATTAGTATGTAATTTGGTGATCGAAAATCAAAATAAGGATTCATAGTGCTCTGATATACATTTTATTTTTTTCAAAAGAACACATTAAATTGATAAATTCGTATGTAAGTTTGAATTTAATTATAATCAAGAAATAACTTCGAGTTAGTGAGTGAGTTAGTGGAAAGAATGTTTCGAATTGTGTAGATTAGTTTAACCATTCCATATACCATAATCAGCTTCATAAGTTTTGAGCCAATAGATAATCTCTTGACATATCAATTTCAAATTCTTTTTTTTTCAAGCATTCATTTTATCTTTGCAAGAATTTACCATTTTATTTTCATCAACGGATGACCACAGTATATGATCAATAATGCAGTCGACAAAACAAGTACAGTCCGATGCGTATTTCAATAGTTCTTGCATATGTGAATGGCATATAATGCCAATCTATTAAAAATAATATTTTTTCCTATTCAATAGAAAATCATTTTACTGCGTATATTAAATATGAAAAAGCATATCCATTTGATGGTGGATATTTAGTTAACATGTCTAAAAATCGTTCATAAGATTTTTTCAATCGTTGCATGGCTGATGTATGAACATTGATAATCATCGAATTCGACATAAAAATCATCAATAGAATATGGTAGCACTTTACTCATATTTTTTCCATAAACCGAGCTGATTTCCATCAAGAATAATATCAGCTTCGGTAAATGAAAATGTAAAATGTGTTTTATCCCAATATAAATAGATTGGAAAGAGACATCTGTATATATAAAATTCTAGAATATATTCATTCGCTATGCTTTTCATCTTGTATTCAGGTTTTGGTAATGGACCATATTGTTCTCCAAATCGTTCTTCGTATAGTCGACAACTATCAATAAATGCTTGTTCCATTCTCATGCAATCATCTAGGTACATTTTTGGTTCTATAAGATGTGTTTGCCAAATAATTTCCATATCAAATGTAGAAATAAGTAGAATATTATTTGGACAAGAAGCTATTAAGTGCATAAAACGATAATATCTTATTGTCATTTGTTGTATGATTGATGATTGAGGCCATTTACCTTGAAAGTGAGATGCTTTCTCAATGATGATATAGATTCAAGAGCTGTTCTATCAAAATCAATCGATATTGTGATAGACCGAAACAATAAAACATAACAAATATTCACTACTTATGATTTTCTGGTTCAACATAACGAATCGCTGATGTAGATTTTGATTCTTCAGGTATTATTTTTTACTTTGACTTAGTTAGATAAATATCTAATGGAACGATTTCACAAATTGAGCTATGTCCTATATACTTTAACAACTTTTTAAATTTTTCTGTTACATTTTTTCAAATTCATTTGGATGTTGTTTGAAGTCCTCAATAGAAACGAATTGATGTTTGACTGCTGACCAAATAGGACATCGCGATGGTGATGATGGTCCAAAACACCCTTTACTAGTAAAAAACTTGTATCTATGACAAGTAGCTTCGACCTTTTCTAGGTCTATATTTCTTAGATATTTTCCATACATTCAATCCATATAAACTTGTTTGAAAGATTTTGAATGTTAATTTTGTCGATGCTCTATAAGAATAATGATAAATTAAATCAAGAAGAAAGAAACGAAATGAATAAACTTGTATTTACATTTTAATTTTCAAATGTCATCCTGATTGGCAATCACTTTAAATGAACGACAAACCAATGAAACATTGCACAAATCATGTATGAACAAATATCTAGATCAGGTATTACTTATCAACATTACTAGTGGTTACAAATCTAGGCTGGTAGCATAATAGGAAAATAACAATCAACTATAGGTCTTTAGAGTCACCATTTACTAGAGGGATCATGCTTTCAAAATTTTTTATTTCGATCTTTTTCTAACACATCGTGCTATCTTTCACCAGTTGTTTTTTTTTTTAATTTTAACAAAGCAGAATACTGTTATTACTCAAGTGAAGTAATGTTGTGAAGTTGCCAATGCTATTGTCATGGCAATTTTTTCGACTTGCTGCTGGTCACTGCAACAGATAGCAGTGTGAATGAACGTTGTTCCTAAGAAATAAACTACTAAACGCTTGATTGACATATTTTTAAGATATTTCAAATGGACACAAAACCAAACGCTGCCTGCGGTTGTGGGTATCTGATATATGTTTCAAAAGAATAACCACATACACATTCACACCACACACTCCATACTTAATCAAAAAAGGTATTATTTCAATCGTTTCTATTTGTTCTACCTAGTCAACTACTTGTCTAATAATGCTAAAACACGCTGCACATTGAAATATGCCGTATAAAATACTAACACTTGAATTCTAAAAAAGCTAAACGATTTCAACACAACTTAAGCATGAATAGCACACATATTAAGACAATCACTTTTTGCATTTAAATAAAGAAAAAGTATTTTATACGTTACTATCAAGATTTATTCAAAGTTGAAAATAATAATTCTAATCTTGGCATTCGAAAAAATCTTCAAAAAAACAGCGACAATTATGCAATCAAAACTTCTCACGGATCATCTGTAAAAACACAATCATCATCAGATGTATAATTTGATATTTAGATATAGAGCGTGTTCAATTCATTTAAAAACCTTTTCTTCATCGAAAAAAGTGCTAAATCTGTAGTAGAAAAGATTCATAAAAGCTTCATGTTAAGTCTTGAAATTGATCTATAGGCCGGATGTCTATATATATCTTACATGATTGTTTTCATTAGTCTACTGATCATTTTCTTAACCTACGTTTATCTCAAGATGTAATGATATCTGTGCTTCGGTTACCTCAGTTTAGGGTCAAGCCAATCGACTATTGATGGACGTTACTTGTATGTTTATTCTGGAATGATGTTGTCGTTGGCAATTGAGTATTATTTCTCTTACGGTTATGTTCAACAGTACGTTGTGCCGATCTATAATTACCAACACTTGATCTATTACCTGGATGAATATCTAATAATGCTACATGAATGATTTTTCGTGGTTTGTCGTTTAATGTTACAGCACATTTATTAACTTTTGATTGAAACTCAATGGATAGTATGATCAGTCAATATAACATATTCGATATTATTGAAAATTAGACGACCAGCAGAGTTATGATAAACGAATCGCCACCTTGCGTGACTTTTATTTGCTTATCGATATCGGAAATCTAAGAAAGTCCCTGACGAATATTAGATGTCATTAGATATTGCGTTACTTAATCATACCGAACAATGAACATGTACTGTATGATCTATTTTGATCGGAGTTACATTTGAAAGGCCCAAATATCGAGGCTCATTTGTGCTAGATTCAACTTTCGTGTCATCACCACTATTATCATTTATTTTAATCGTCTCTACATGATTCATCGATCTATTTTATTGATAGTATTCAAAATTTTACGTAGTGATCTCAGAAGGAATTCATTATTTTGATCAGCGATTGGAATTATATTAGTTGAAAATAGTCGTTTAATGATGTAAACGTGCTAAGAACAACAAAAGTAATCCATAATTCACAATTTTAATCGACATTAATTTTCTTTTCTTGATTTGTTCATCTATTTCACTTATGTTCTTTAAATTATACTAAATAGTTGTCTGAGACTCGATTTATTATCTTGATCAGTTGTTCTGCTTGTTATTAGTTGAAGATGATCTTTTAATTATTTAAACGTCCTAAAAACAATAAAACTAATCTAAATACACGATGTTTGTTTATAATAATGTTCTTTTTTTTAAATTTTTGTTGTTTTAAATTGTACGTTGTCGTGTGATAATCAAGTTTTTATTATTACGTATTGCGTTTGTTAGTACTTGAAATTGATCATTTAATGATATAAAAGCACTGAAGAGATGAAATTCATTTGAAATTGACTTCTTTAAACTTATTTAATATTCTCTTGTTCATCTGTTCGTTTATATTATTTATGCTACTTGAAATTGTAAGTAGTGATATCACAGTCAATATGTTATGTGAAGTTGACACTGTTATTCTTTTCATGTGAAAATTATTCTTAAACTAATCAAAACATTATAAAATAAATAAAATTAATTTAAAATGCATCATTTTGGTTCATGTTAATTTTTTATATAGTATCTCTCTTTTAACAAAGTAACGAGCCGTGACAATCGTCTTTTTCTTATTCGTTTTCATAATCGCCGCACGTTTTTTTTTAAAGTCTTGTATACAGGCACGTAGAAAGACGACGGTGAGTGAATCATTAGTCGATTGATAGACAGAGTGGTATATTTTTTCATATTAAAGGAATGAGCCGTGACAATTGTCTTTTTCTCATTCGTTTTCATAATTGCCGCACGTTTTCTTTCAAATCATATATACAAGCGCGTAGAAGGACGCTGATAAACGGATGATTTATCGGTTGGTAGATTAAATAGGTTCTGTTGTTGATTTATGCCTTCATTCGTGATGTATA